AGAAGCCACCCAGAGGCTCCTTGGAAGACAGACCTGGTGATCTGCTTCTGAAAGGTCACAGCCTTGGAAAAAACCCTGTGAAGCTGTTCTGCTCTGCACACATTGGGTCACCATGAATTGGAATCAACTTGATGGCAACTAACAACATTATTTGCCTTCACTGTGAATCACTGACTCAAGCAGCTGCAAAGTTACAGCATTTGCCTGTAATTGTTTTCAACAAATGCTTCTCTTCCCCAGAAGTACTTTTTGCAGTGAGTGAGCTCAAGTCAAGTCAAATACAGACAACCTTGTATGTGGGGTCTTCTAGGAACCCAGCCACTAGACAGGTCAAATAATGACAGTTCTTTGCGATAAGGGTTTGAGAGATCTCCAGCTCTGTTCTCCTTTCTCTGGTGACTGCCAGGCTGACTGGGAAAATGGGCTTTTCTTTCAAACCTATTGGTGAGTTGGAGATAGAACTAGGGAAAGTTAAAACATTATGAAGCTTGCTGTTCTTATTGAAATTCAGCTGTTCTTCTTGAATGAACACTCTCCAAGCCTTTGTTTAATTTCCAGAGTTTGGAAAAGTTGATTCTGATAATTTTTAGCAGCGTTTTTTACTGCTTTTATGGAGCAGTGAATTTTTGAAGATCCTTACTCTGCCATTTTTGCTGGTATCACTGACATTACTTTTTAAAGATAATTTTTTAACTATAAAAATTACAGGATAATATGGATTACCAGATGTTATTGATTCATGTGAGTTACTTTACCAACAAAAAGGTAAGCAATATGTTTTCGCATAAGGCAGTAAAGATTTTTGTAGATAGAGCAAAACTCACTCAGTTCTTTGTTCTTAGTCATGATTAGAAAAATTACAGTCCCTCTTAAGATTGTTGACTGCTGAAGGTGGAGTCTTCTCTCTCTGACATTATTTTCTTCAGTAAGTTGAAGAGAAGGACAAAGAGTGTCTACCACTGTAAAATTTTTGAGGAAAGTTCTAAAATTTCTAGTATCAAAAACATCTGGACTAAATTCTTATCCAAAAATTCCATCTCATATACATGCTACTAATAATGGAAATTTCTTTATTGCTAAAGCCTCAGATTTCCTTGAAATGGTCTATAAAGTTCTTTTTTATAATTATTTTATCTATGTGATAATGTATTGTTTTTGTTTTTGATAGGCATATACCGTGAAGACACCAACAAAAGTGAAAATACATCCCAAGGAAAACCAGAATTTACCCACTGAAGAAAGTAATAAAAAGAGAAAAATGGTCTTTGAATTCGATATTAATTCAGATAGTTCAGAGACGACTGATCTTTTGGTAAAAATTGCAAATAAGCAACATTTATTATTTGTTTACGTTATTTCTTAATGTATATGTAATTTGTGGACCTGGTACCTGTCATTGAAATACTAAAATACAGTAGAACTCTACTATAACATGGAGCCCTATGCTTTTGCATCATTTTAAATAAATTAGTGTTCAAATAATTTGTCCCCAAATTTCAGAAAACCATATACATTTTGAAAATACTGGCTATAACACAGTTGACATATGAGATGAGTGATCATTGCCTTGTTTTCTAGCAGCATGTATAAAGGAAATTTTTACTATATTTTCTTTCCTTTTTTGCTTCTCTAAGAAAGATAAGGTGAGTATTTTTTATCTTGCTATAACCAACTCTGTTCCTCTGGGCCCTCTTTATTTTGTATATTATACATGTTCCTTTATTTTACATCACTTATTAGTTGATATCTATATCAACATATTAATTGACAACTTTAACATTTCTATCACTCTTAAAAGAGTTAATGCATTAAAGATAGCATGTTTAAGAATGCTATTTCCCCTAACACTTTTTATCACTAATCCTTACCATGAGTGTATTCACACATACAAGTATTTTATAAAGTCATAATGATGAATTATTGAGAATAATTTAACCTAGATTCAATTTAAAAATAGATTAACCTCAACATATTAAATGGAACAATGCACCAAAAATTCTTACTTAAAAAATTCCAGCTAAAGTCATTTGCTTTATTGATCTCACTCTTTCAAGATCCTTCAAGCTTTTCCACTGCTTTGGGGCCCTCTGTTTTCATTTCTTCTGGAATAATGAGTAGTTGAAGTCTTAAAACCCTAATTATTGAAGGTAGAGCCTTTTCTCTAGTAGCCCTGTTATATAGATAATGATTAATATTTTAATAATTAAGACTGTGTGCCAGGCACAGTTCTAATCACTTTACATTAGGGCTTTAAATTGGTTCTAAATGGCTCAGTCATGGCTGAAGGAAAACAAGGCAGGTCTTTGAACTCGTTTGAAGTGGTTCAGTCATGGCTGAGGAAAACAAATGCAGCATATGCATTGCATAGCAACCAGATCTCTTGAGCATTGGCTTTTGACCCAAGTAAGAAACAGGCAGTGGTGCCCTGCTCAAAGATGATGGCCAATCGGCTGCTTTGGATGTGTGTCGCTCTCCATAGCCCTGCCAATAATCCAATCTCCCGCATCAGGAAACTTTCAGGAGCCAGTAATCCAATCTCGCACATCAGGAAACTTTCAGGAGCCTGATGTGGGAGACTGGATTACTGGCAGGGCTGTGGAGAGCAACACACATTCAAAGCGGTGCGGTCGGCTGCCATCTTTGAGCAGGGCACCGCTGCCTGTTTCCTACCTGGGTCAAAAGCCAATGCACAGGAGATTTGGTTGCTATGCAACACAGACACTACCCTTGTTTCCCTTGGCCATAACTGAACTGCTTTGAACTGGTTGGAAGCCCTGTCTTGTTTCGGTCGGCCGTGGTTGTAACTGTTTAGAACCAGTTCAGAGCCCTGCTTTACATAGATTATTTCATTTATTTATTACAACGATTCCATGCTGTAGCAGTATAGACAATGTTGTTATCTCCATTTTACAAATGAGTAAACTGAGTCATACAAGTACCTTGTCCTATATTATATTACATAGCTAGTAAAGCATGGAGCCAAAATTTGAACACGGCCTACTTCATAGCCCATGTTATCACTATTCATCATAACTGCCAATTCAAACTAAAGTCCAGATATATAAAAATACAATGAGAATTAGTAGAAAGGGCGAGGGCTTTGGAATCAAACATCCCAGGGTTAGAATCCCTGCTGTTTTTTAGCAGTGTGAATTTAGGCTAGTTTCTTAGCTGATCTTAGATTCAGAATGATTAGAATGATTTTATTTAATTTTTAAACTTTACAATACAATAAACATATTTCAGTATTATAGAATTCCATATGATTGTTAAAGTAGTCCAGAAACACATTTCACAGTCACTTGAAGCTTTTAGTCATTTTTGTGATTTTCTTAGCTGTAGGAGTTAAATTTTGGTGAACAAAATAGAATCAAGATCTAGGTCCTTCCTTGCTTAGCAGAGGGAGGAATTTTTTTATCGTCGTTGTTGTCTTTTTTCTCCTACCTTTTTTTCTTCTTTCTCTTCTTCTTTCCTTTTTCTTCCTTCCTCTTTCTTTTTCTTCTCCTTATATGTGATATGTAGACAAAATTTGAATAATATAATATTAATGATGGTATCCTCCAAATTACACTTTTTCGTATTTTTCTCCAAGAGCATGGTTTCAGAGGAAGAGACATTTAAAAAAATGTACAAAAATAATCATCCACCAGCTTCTCATCTTCGTGTCATAACACCAAAACAGGTAGCTTTTAAATTTTATTTCAGAAAGCAAGTTTTAAAAGCTAGACCTTCTTTTTTTAATTAAATATATTAAGACTTTATTTTTATTTTGTATTCAGACCCCTTCATCTCTAACAACCTCTGGATCCGCAGTGAAGTTTGGAGCTATGCGAAAAATGCCAGAGGACCGTTGGGCTGCAATTGCTAAAATGGATAGGAAAAAAAAACTGAAGGAAGCAGAAAAGCTATTTGTTTAATTTCAGAAAATCAGTGTGATTAAGGAGCCTAATAACATGAAATTTATAGTTTTTTTTTTTTTAATTCTTATTTTCCAAAGAGCCAACTTTTATCTGGAAATTGAGAACATTTTTTTTATTTACATGAATAATTTATGTTTCTTTATTTATATTTTGGCCCAAATGTGAAATAACTATGTTACCTGAAAAATTGTAATTGTATTCCGATAGATAATTATATTTTGTTGTTACCTTTACGTGTATTTTTGGAAACTGTTTTTGCTGAGTTTTCAAATTTGCAGTTACCCTTTGAATGCTAAGAACGTGTTATTAAGATTTACCCTTTATTCTTTACTATTAAACTATTTTGAGTGTAAATAATTGCATCTTGTTGATTCTCTGAAGCCATCTAAACAGCTAATCTTTATAGATTTGACAATACTATTCCTTTTTAAAATCTTGAGAGCGTTTTAGTGTATCACACTTTTGAAGCAGCTTTCATTATTCTTTTTATTTATGAAATTGACAAATGATTTTTAGTTGCAGGAAATAAGATCATGCCAGCATGACTTCCTGAAAGACTTCATTTATCTATCATTTATACAGCAAATATTTGTTGAGTGTCTAGTAAGAGTCAGGCACAGTTCTAATACTGGGCTATAGCAGTGAGCAAAACGGAAGAACAAATCCTCTGTTTTCCAGTAGCTTACGTTCCAGTGAGGGACATAGATAATAAATAATATAAATAATCAAAAATATAGTATATTGTTGTTGTTGTTAGGTGCTGTCGAGTTGGTTCTGACTCACAGAGACCGTATCTACAACAGAATGAAACACTGCCTGGTCCTGTGCCATTCTCACAATCATTGTTATTCTTGAGCCCATTGTTGCAGCCACAATGTCAGTCTATCTCATTGAGGCTGTTCCTCTTTTTCAGTGACCCTCTTTACCAAGTATAATGTTTTTCTCCAGGGACTGGTCCCTCCTAATAACGTGTCCAAAGTATGTGAGATGAAGTCTCACCATCCTTGCTTCCAAAGAGCACTCTGGCTGTGCTTTTTCCAAGACCCATTTGTTTGTTCTTCTGGCAGTGTATGATATATTCAATATTCTTTGTCAACACCATAATTCAAAGGAATCAATTCTTCTTTGGTCTTCCTTATTCATTGTCCAGCTTTCACATGCATATGAAGTGATTGAAAATACCATGGCTTGAGACAGACACACCTTAGTCCTCAAGGTGACATCTTTTGCTTTTTAACATTTTAAAGAGGTCTTTTGCAGCAGATTTGCCCACTGCGGTGCAGCATTTGATTTCTTGACTGCTGCTTCCATGGGTGTTGATTGTGGATCCAAGTAAAATGAAATCCTTGACAACTTCAGTCTTTTCTCTGTTTATTATGATGTTGCTTATTGGTCCTGTTGTAATGATTTTTGTTTTCTTTATGTTGAGGCGTAATCCATACTGAAGGCTGTAGTCTTTGGTCTTCATCAGTAAGTACTTCAAGTCCTCTTCACTTTGAGCAAGCAAGGTTGTGTCATCTGTATATTGCAGGTTGTTAATGAGTCTTCCTCCAATCCTGATGCTGTGTTCTTCTTCATATAGTCCCGCTTCTCGGATTATTTGCTCAGCATACAGATTGAATAAGAAAGGTGAAAGGATACAACCTTGACTTACACCTTTCCTGACTTTAAACTATGCAGTATCCCCTGTTCTGTTCAAACGACTGCCTCTTGATCTATGTACAGGGTGCTAATGAGCACAATTAAGTGTTCTAGAATTCCCATTCTTTCCAATGTTATCCATAATTTGTTATGATCCACACAATGAATGCCTTTGCTTAGTCAATAAAACACAGGTAAACATATGTCTAGTATTCTCTGCTTTCAACCAAGATCCATCTCACCTCAGCAATGATATCCCTGGTTCCATATCCTCTTCTGAATCTGGCTTGAATTCGTGGCAGTTCACGGTCAACGTACTGCTGCAACCACTTTTGAATGATCTTCAGCAAAATTTTACTGGCGTGTGAAATTAATGATATTGTTCAATAATTTTCACATTCTGTTGGATCACCTTTCTATGGAATGGGCACAAGTATGAATCTCTTCCAGTCAGTTGGCCAGGCAGCTGTCCTCCAAATTTCTTGGCATAGACGAGTGAGCACCTCTGGTGCTGCATCCATTTGTTGAAACATCTCAGCTGGTATTCTGTCAATTCCTGGAGCCTTATTTTTCACCAATGCCTTCAGTGCAGCTTGGACTTCTTCTTTCAGAACCATTGGTTCTTGATCAAATGATACCTCCTGAAATGGTTGAACGTTGACCAATTCTTTTTGCTACAGTGACTGTGTATTCCTTCCATCTGCTTTTGATGCTTCCTGCATTGTTCAATATTTTCCCCATAGTATCCTTCTGTTGTGCAACTGGAGGCTTGAATTTTCTCTTCAGTTCTTTTAGCTGGAGAAATGCTGAATGTGTTCTTCTCTTTTGGTTTTCTGACTCCAGGTCTTTGCACATTTCGTTATAATACTTTACTTTGTCTTTTTGAGCCACTCTTTGAAATCTTCTGTACAGCTTTTTTACTTGATCATTTCTTTCATTCATTTTAGCTACTCCACATTCAAGAGCAAGTTTCAGAGTCTCTTCTGACATCCATTTTGGTCTTTTCTTTCTTTGCTGTCTTTTTTATGACCTTTAACTTTCCTCATGTATGATGTCCTTGATCGTTCCACAATTTGTTTGGTCTTCGGTCACTAGTGTTTACTGCGTCAAATCTATTCTTGAGATGGTCTCCAAATTAAGGTGGGATATACTCAAAGTTGTATTTTGGCTGTCATGTACTTGTTATAATTTTCTTTAGCTTCAACTTGAACTTGCATATGAGCAATGGATGGTCTGTTCCACAATTGGCACCTGACCTTGTTCTGACTGATGATATTGAGCTTCTCTATCATCTCTTTCCACATATGTCATCAATTTGATTCCTCTATATTCCATCTGTCAAGGTCTGCATGTATAGTCAATGTTTATGTTATTGAAAAAAGGTATTTGCAATGAAGAAGCCGTTGTTCTTGCAAAATTTATTATACAATCTCTGGTGTCGTTTCTATCACCAAGGCCATATTTTCCAACTACTGATCTTTCTTCTTTGTTTCCAACTTTCACATTCCAATCATCAGTAATTATCAGTGCATCTCGATTGCATGTTTGATCAAATTTAGACTGCAAAAGTTGGTAAAAATCTTCAGTTTCCTCATCTTTGGCATTAGTGGTTGGTGTGTAAATTTGAATAATAGTCATATTAACTGGTCTTTCTTGTAGGCATATGGATTTTATCCTATCACTGACAGCATTGTACTTCAGAATAGATCTTGAAATGTTCTTTTTGACAATGAATGCAACGCCATTCCTCTTCAATCTGTCATTAGTTAATGATAGTTGCTAAGGAAGAAATAAAACAGGGAAGAGGTGTATGGATTACGAAGGGCTTGCAATTTTAGATAGGGAAGCCCTCAATGAAATGACATCTGAGTAAAGATCTGATGAAAATAGCAGATAAGTCTGTGGATATCTGGATGAAGAACGTTCCTGGCAAAGGGAACAGGAAGTTCAAAGGCCCAGAGGTGGGGTGCGCGTAGTGTATTTGGGAAGCAGCAAGGAGGCGAGTGTGACACTGGAGGCTAATCAGCAAGAGGGAGAGTAAAAGGAGAGGAAGTCTTACAGTTAACAGGAGTTTGGGTAGGCTTGTTGGTCACTGTAAGAACTTTGGCTTTTACTTTGAATAAGATGTGAAGTCAGTGGATTTAAGCAGAGGAGAGCCATGATCTGATTTATGTTTTAACCATCTTTCTGGCTGCTATCTTGAGAATAGACTGAAGAGGGGACAAAGAGCTAAAACAGGGGGAACCAGTTAGGAGTAATGCATATGAGAGAGAGTAGTAACTTGAACAAGGGTGAGAGCAACAGAGGAGTTAAGTGGTCAATTTCTAGATCTATTTTGAAGACTAGATGTGGAATATGAGAGGGAGAGAGGGGCCATGGTTGACTTCAAGATTTTTGGCTTAAGCAATATCGTTTTGGACATGTTAGGTTTGAAATGCCTGTTAGACATTCAAGTAGAGATGGTGTTATGGATTGAATTGTGTCCCCCAAAAATATCTATTGTAAATCTTAACCCTATACCTGCTGAAGGAGCCCTGGTGTTGCAGTGGTTAATTATTTGGCTGTTAATAGGAAGGTTGTTGGTTCAAACTCACCAGCCGCTCCACAGGAGAAAGATGTGGCAGTATGCTCTCAGGAAGATTTACAGCCTTGGAAACCCTATGGGGCGGTTCTACTCTGTCCTGTAGGGTCTCTATGAGCTAGAATTGACTTGATGGCAATGGGTTTGGTTTTGGTTTTATGCCTGCGGATGTGATCCCATTTGGGAATAGGGTTTTCTTTGTCATGTTAATGAGGCCAAATCAGTGTGGGGTGTGTCTTAAACCAGTCACTTTTGAGACATAAAAGAGCAGATTATGCACAGAAGAAAGGCAGGGAGAAGACCGAGTTTATCTGAAGATGATGAGGCAGAACCAGTCTACAAGCCCAGGAACTCCAAGGATGGCCAGCTAGAGAAGCTGAGACAAGGATTTTCCCCCAGAGCAGACAGAGCCTTACCCTAGAGCCAGTGCCCTGAATTCAGACTTCTAGCTTCATAAACTGTGAGAAATACATTTCTATTCATTAAAGTCACCCACTTGTGGTATTCTGCTATAGCAGTACTAATAAACTAAGATGCTAAGTAGGCTTGGTGACAGGTCCAGACTAGTGATATGAATTTGGGAGTCAAGAGCATAGATAAAGCTGTCAGACTGGATGAGGACACATACACTTATGGTAGTGAATGAACTTACAAAAGAGTAGAGGTCGGAGAGATGAGAAGGAACCATCACAGAATTAGCCAAGATGGTAGTAGGAAAATTAGAACTATGGTTTCCTGGAAGTCATGCAAGAAAGTATTTTAGAAGAAGGAGTGATAAAGTATGTTAAATACTACTGAGAAGTAAAGTAAAATAAAGACTTTAAGAATTGATTGTGTTATTAATGTGGAGATCATCGGTAATTTTAACAATGGCGATTAATTGGAGTGGGTTAAAGAATGGACAGAGAGCAAGTGGAGACAGCTTTCTCTGCAAGTGTAAGAAACTCTTTCACGAAGTTATACCTTAAAGGGAAGAAGATAAACTGGGTGGTTATTAGAGAATGAGGTAGATCAATAAAAGGTTTCTCTTCCTTTTTTAAAATATAAGAAGTAATAACATATTTCAATAATTAGAGAAAGATTCACAAGCTGTGTGGCTTATAAGAATAGAGATTTAGTGTCTC